CTCGACACAGGGGACGCAGGTAGGGCCAGGCCTCGGAGGAAGGGGAGGGAGGGACCGGGGAAGACCAGAGACAAGGACACGGGAGGCCATGCTTCGGAGACGAAGCAGGGAGGGGTGACCAAGGCGGTGGTGCCAGAGGAGAGTCTCGTGAGACAGGAGACGATACGAGCAGGGGGCAGACTCAGGACCGGACCTGGACGCTGCAGCAAACACCTGACCCGACGCAGCTACCTGACCAGACGCAGTGACTGGAAGAGACGCAGTGGTCAGCGTGTAAAGGCTCGACCCCGGCCGACTTGTAAACGTGGCCAGGTGTCGGCCTGTCCGAGCGTCCGTGCAGTGGGTCACCCGCTGACTCGCAGGAGTTTAGGCCTTGTGCCTACTTTCCCTTGTGCCTACTTTCCCTCACTTGCTCACTTCTTGACTCTGCTTGTACTGTGATCTCTATATATATACCTGCATGCTTACACTTGTTAGGTTGTGATCACTGTATCTCTTGATATATTATCAAACTGCATGTGAACTGGTCTTGTGACCGCTTACTTGTGCTTGGAATTTGTGTGGTATCCTTGAGATCCACCATGAGCTTGTTTTGCCTTGCTTTGCTTTGACTGGTCTTGTGACCCCTTGCTCTCCCCCACTTCGCTTATGGGGGTGTGTCAAACATTATATATGTTGTAGTTGTTTAGGCTACAGTGGGCTAGCCTTTAGGGGGTACTCAATTCTAGGTTTAGGTACTTGTACTCACTTCTCTCTCAATTCAATCATTCATTCTCTAACATGCGGTAATCGAAACTGGTATGCGATATGCGAAGTCTCGCTACTCCGCATAGGGCTGCTACAAGCGACACGAGGCACATGCAGGGCTTCGCCTTAAGATTTGCAAAAGGAGACGGATTGTGGAGCTGAGAAGCTACTGCCTCCCCTACGTATTGCCACCCCTATGTAGGAAGATTGGGTAGCATTAGAGTAAGCCCCGCCATACTAACTAACGATAGCCGCCGCAAAATGCCACTATTAGCGGCGCCGCCACGATAGTATGCCTTGAGAGGCAATGGTGCACCCGCAACGTGAACTCCTCTCATCAGCTCCTACCATAGTTTTGTGCCGAACTGTCGCAAACCGGCGAAAAAATAAGGGCCCCAGTGGCAACTGCTAAACGACGATTCTAGCAAATTTGCGGTCCAAATTAGTGCTCTGAAATGTATTTATGTGTGTTCCAATCGTTACTCCCCTCACTGATTGTCTGCGTGGTATTATCACACTAAGACACGCTGAAATAATTGCAATGCTGCTGCGCAAGCGCTGAAAGCGGGGAGCGGAAAGCGGGATCTGAATGCGATGCACTAAAAGCGGGGACCTGAGCTGAAAGTGGGAGGTGAATGTCAAATTGCATTTGTTGTCTCTAGGTTGTGGTGGGGCATACTCTAAGGAGTACAACTCTAAGGAGTACACAAAGGGTTGCATCCTAGTACTTGTACTCATGCTTGCTCCTTAGTTAATCATTCCTATGTTCTAATTCTGACATGGTATTCAGAGCAGGTCCCTCCGTAAGACCACTCTGTTAGGGCCCACCAACCGTACGTACTGCCCCAGGAGCTGCTGCCGTCGCGCGCTGCTACCCTGCCCTACCTAGCATTATCGCGCTGCCCCTGCTGCACACTGCCCTGCTGCCACACATGCTGCGCTGCTGCCCATACTGGCCTGCTCGCCGTGCGCTGACGACCAGGCTACTCAGCGGTCGTCACAGGGTTACACCTTCAGCCTTGGCTCTGGTTCAGTTTCTTGGCGTTCTACTCGTTCTTCTTTTGTTCTCAGCTCCAGTTGTGAGGCTGAGATCTGTCAGAACATTATAGCTTATGCTTTTGTGTAGGCTGTAGTGGGGTAGCCTATATGGGGTACAACCCAAATAGGGTTAGTACTTGTACCCAACTCTTTCATACTGCATTCATTCTCGTTCATTTTCACATGGTTTCAGAGCACATATGCTCCTGGCCTGTGGGCCCTACAATTGCTTCCGCTGCTACTCGATCTGTCGCACGCCCCATGGCGTGCGACCTATTTTACATCTCGCCGCGCGCCTCTCTGGCGCGCGCCCCGAGGCGCGCGGCCCCGTTCCTTCTAGGCGCGCCACTCCCCGCTACCCCGCCGCGGCGCCCAAGGGTGCCGCGCGCGACCCCTCGCTGCCCCGTCGCGGCCCCATCTCTTCGCGCCGCCCTAGCGGTCGCGTCGCGCCGCCCTCGCGGCCCCGATCCGCCGCCCTAGCGGCCCCGTCACCTACCCCTGCGGCCCCGGCGCCGCCCATCCCGGCCCCGGCTCCGCCCTTCCTGGCCCCGGCGCCACCTCGGCTGGCCCCGTCGCCTACCCCGGCGACCCCGACGCCGCCCTTCCCGACCCGGCCCCGCCTCTGCTGGCCCCGTCGCCTACCCCTGCGGCCCCGGCGCTGCCCTTCCCGGCCCCGGCGCCACCTCTGCTGACCTCGACGCCGCCCTTACCGGCCCCGGCGCCGCCTCTACTGGCCCCGTCGCATACCTCTGCGGCCCGGGCGCCGCCCTTCCCGGCCCCGGCGCCGCCTCTGCTGGCCCCGTCACCTACCCTGCGGTCCCGGCGCCACCTCTGCTGGCCCCGTCGCCGCTCCACCCGGCCCCGCCGCCGTCCAAGCGGCCCCGCCATCACCACCGAGCCGCCGGCGCCGCCGAGCTGCTACCGAGCCGCCCGAGCCACCCGAGCCGCCCGAGCCACAGCGCCACCTGAGCCGCCCGAGCCGCCGGGTCGCCGAGCCGCCGAGCTGCAGTTGCTGCCGAGCCGCCGTACCGCCGAGCCGCCCGAGCCGCTCGAGCCGCCGAGTCGCCGCGCCGCAGTTGCCGCCGAGCCGCCCGAGTTGCCCGAGCCGCCGAGCCGCAGTTGCTGCCGAGCCGCCGTGCCGCCGAGCCGCCGTGCCGCCGAGCCGCCTGAGCCGCCCGCACCGCCGAGTCGCCGAGTCGACGAGTCGCCGAGTCGCCGAGCCTGCTCTTCCCACCATTGGTGAGCCCCTGCCCTGCTAGCACGCTGCCCGCCGCCTGCTTGCCTGCCTGCCTGCCTTTCGGCCTGCCTGGCAACTCGCCTTACTGCTGCTACTCCTGCTCCTGCTTCTACTGGCGGAGCCAGATGCAGCCCCAGCGACATCCGCATGAGTCCCTCACGCCCCAGCAGCTGCGTGAGTGGTACGCTGGTTGGGGTTGTAGGGGTGGCGGCGCTGCTACTGCTACCACTACTACTGCTACTACTACTGGCGGCGGCAAGATGCAGCTCCAGCGACGCCCACGCGCGTCTCTCATGCCCCATCAGCTTCGTGAGTGGTACGCTCAGAGTAGAGGGTCTCTCAGTTCTGTTCGCTGCTCTTACGTGATTCGCACTGGTGCTCGGACTGGTCAGCCTTGTGGGACCCCTAGTCACACACAGTCACGCTGCTTCGCACGTCTGAGCGACGCCTGGCGTACCGAGTTTGGCGACGAGGCTGAGCTCCCTGACTGGGTGGAGTTGCTTAGGCAGAGGGTAGATATATTTGCTCTTGACTATGATGCTATTCTCACTGCCATGTATGCATTGCCTACTAGTGCTGACCGTGCCGGTCACCTGTGCATACCGCCTGACCCGGGTATAGAGCCTGCTGCTCTAGTTGCTGGTGAGGCTCCTGCTCTGGGTGCTAGTGAGTCTCCTGCTCCAGGTACAGGTGCGGCTGCTGCTCTAGGTGCTAGTGAGTCTGCTTCCTCAGGTGCGGGTGAGTCTGCTCTCACAGGTACCGCGTCGGCTCCGGCCTCTCACACCTTCACTCTTGACTCGGGGGCTTCCCGCTCCTTCTTTCGAGACCACACCACACTCACGCCGCTTGGTCGGTCAGTTGCAGTCTCTCTGGCAGACCCCTCTGGGGGTCCTGTCCTTTGCTCACTTCTCCACTGTCCTCCCGTGTCCGGCGGCCCCCTCTGGCACCCTGTCTGGTCTTTACCTCCCCTCGTTCTCTACGAACTTGGTGAGTGGTGCTGACCTACAGGATGCGGGGGTTCACTAGTTCACTCCTGCGAGTCAGCGGGTGACCCACTGCACGGACGCTCGGACAGGCCGACACCTGGCCACGTTTACAAGTCGGCCGGGGTCGAGCCTGTACACGCTGACCACTGCGTCTCTTCCAGTCACTGCGTCTGGTCAGGTAGCTGCGTCGGGTCAGGTGTTTGCTGCAGCATCCAGGTCCGGTCCTGAGTCTGCCCCCTGCTCGTATCGTCTCCTGTCTCACGAGACTCTCCTCTGGCACCACCGCCTTGGTCCCCCCTCCCTGCTTCGTCTCCGAAGCATGGCCTCCCGTGTCCTTGTCTCTGGTCTTCCCCGGTCCCTCCCTCCCCTTCCTCCGGGGCCTGGCCCTACCTGCGTCCCCTGTGTCGAGGGGCGGCAGCGGGCTGCTCCTCACTCCTCTCAGTTTCCTTCGACAGAGGCCCCGCTGCAGACGCTTCACATGGACGTGTGGGGCCCGGCCCGCGTCCGTGGACAGGGTCACGAGCGCTACTTCCTGCTGGTGGTTGACGACTACTCGCGTTACACCACAGTCTTCCCCTTGCACAGCAAGGGTGGTGTCACTGGGGTGTTGATCGACTGGATCCGTGTTCACCACTTCTCAACTCATACACCGGAGACATACACGAAACAAAAGCCAAACCCAGTTTATCTCCAACAAGCAGCTTTTACATCATGATGTGTTCAAACGAAATTACCTAGATCACGGACACAACACTCTTTATAAGCGCGCACACGCACACACAATTGAGTATCACACATGTACACCTCTGTAAAGGTCGACGGAGACATCCATCCACTTGCCGACTCTGACAACATAAACAGCACATTTGCTCAACATCTTGGATCCCCGGGCTTCAAATCTCCCGTTTTTGAAGTACCACCAATCCTTCTCATCGTTCCAACCCCTTCTATTGATGTTACCGCCTGAATGGTACATAACTGTCTCTCTGACATCAACCTGACAGTTCTGGCAGCCAATCGAGTGCCTCCAGCCCTCCCTGCTGTGCCAGCCATGCTGCTGCCTCCCACAGCAACTCATCCTCCCCCATGCCGCCCGTGCCGCCCATGCCTTCCCCACCACCCATGTCAGCCATGCCGCACGAGCCACCCATGCCACCCGTACCACTCAAGCCATCAAGCCCTACGCTCAAAGTTCGAGTGCGTCGCATCACCGGAGTCTGCCCAGCAGCAACAGCAGCAGCGGCAGCAATGGTTGGAACCGCAGGGCTGAAAGCGATGTCAGAGGCCCACACAGAATTGCAGGCCATGCCCATGAAATTGTGAGTGTGACTCATGCTGGCTTGGATATCAGCAGCCTGAGCTGCCTGTGCAGGTGGCATCTGGGGAAGGTGGAACTGGTGCAGGTGCAGGTGCGCAGCATCGCTGCCTGCATGTTGCTCGTGGTTCGGGACAAGGTTACATAGCTTGAACTCGCCCTCGGCCTGCAGACTGAACACGCCCTTGGGCTGGAACTTCGGGCCTCATCTGAAGCACCATTGGCTGGTACTGCTGCCCCGCCCCTTGGGATTGCCAGCATTCACACTGACAGCACGGAGTTTCCAGGGTAGGCAGCACAAGAGCAAGCGGCAGCACAGCCGAGGGCGGCAGCTCAGCCGAGGGCGGCAGCTCAGAAGTGAGGGCATGAAGCGACATGCAATGCGGTGCTGCTGCTGTCGCTGCTGTTGTGGCTGCTTGGTACGGGCTGTGGGCAGCGTTAGGGAGTAGCGGAGGCGACAGGAAAGGAAGCGCCTGGGTTTGTGCACAAGCGGGTGCAACAGTGGGTATGACAGTGGGTTCTTGTGCTTGGAGTGGGGCCCACGTTTGCCATTGCACTGATCGTTCTGCTTCCACTGCAATGCCTGCCGTGGTCTGAAACGGCACTGCTGCTCCTGCTGGTGCTACTGATGTGGCTGGGGTTTGAAACGCGGCTCCTGTGGCTCCTGCTGCTCCTGCTGCTCCTGCTGCTCCTGAAGCTCTTTCTCCTGCAGCTGCAGCAGCAAGCGGTGCCTGATACGGTCCTGCTCCTGCGACTCGCTGCGAGCCATGCAGCACCTGACGTGGCACCATATCCTCCAGCAGCCCCTGCAGCTGACGTGGCGCTGAGTCATCATACGGGTTACTACCAACCGCAGTCACGGGCGTAGGCACAAGAGCCCCGCCCACATCAGTCGCGCTGCCGGTCCTGCTCATAGGCCTCCCGTAACCGTCACTGCTGCCACCCGTAACAGTCATAAGCATCCCATGCACCTCGCTGCCACTTCTGCTCAAAGACCTTCCAAAACCATCACCACTGAAGGCCACGGGGGCAGGCAAAACAGCCACAGCTGCATTGGTGGCGCTGCCACTTCTCATAGGCCGCCCGTAACCGTCACTGCCGCCGCCCACCACGGCACGCCAGCTGTCGTTCCTCTCGCTGCTCCCGTTGTTGTTGCTACCGTTATTATTCCAAGCGTCTTTCGCGGCGTGGCTCCCGCCGTTGTTGTTGCTGCAACTGGTGCTGCTGATGGGGCTGCTGCCGTGGCTGCCGGGGCTTGGCAAGAGGTCGGAGCGAGAGAGATTTGCGCGGAGCACCGTGAGCAGCAGAGAGTGTGAGTCCGCAGGGGTGCTTACAGGGGCATTGAACGGGGCGTTTGGAGCAGCATGAAAAGGGGCGTTTAGAGCCGTGCTTGAAAGTGCAGCTGCGGATGGGAATGGGGGGACTGTGGGAGCGGCTCCAAAAGAAGGGGCAGATTCGCAAGCCGTGCTGGCAGCAGGACTGTTGGCAGCAGCACTGTTGGCAGCAGCACTGTTGGCAGCAGCACTGTTAGGAGCAGCAGCAGTATTTGCAGCAGCAGAAACAGCCAGACGGGTGAGCGACGCGAGCAGATTAAGAGGCTGCCGCTTCGGTTGCCATTGCTGCTGCTGTGTTAGCTGCTGCTGCTGCGGTTCCTGCTGCTGGTGCAGCTGCTGCGGCAGCGGCTGCACCACAGTGCACCTTCCAGCATCCTTCCAACCCCCCTGGTCGCCACTGTTTCCCCACGGGAACTCGCGGTCAGCCAGAGGAGAGAAGCTCACTTTGATCGGCTTGGGTGGCGTGAAGGAGTGAGTCGGGGCAGCAGAGAAGTGAGTCGCAGCAGCAGAGGCGGGAGATGCATGGGACGGGTGAGAGCCGCCCGGGGAGGCAGAGGATACATGAGATGCGGCAGACACGTGAGAGGAGGGAGACGTGTGAAGGGCAGGAGAGGCGTTTTCTGCACGAAAGCCAGGATGAGTGGATTGCGATTCAGGGGACGGCTGGAGCCGGTGGAAGGTTTGGAATCCTTCTGAAGCGCCAAAAGCTGCAAAGTCAAAGGTACTGGCATCAAAGGTTTTGAAATCGAAGTCGTGAGAGGCGTGGCGGGCATGAGGAGCATGGGGAAAGCACGGCTCTGATATCAAGGAGGAGTCGGCTTCACGTGACCGCTTGCCCAGGGAGGTTGGAGTGGGCGAGCGCTGAAGGTTCAGGTAGCATGGGGCGGAATTTGACTGCAACACCACTCTGCACTCCTCTTGCTGCTGCTGCCACTGCTGCTGCTGTGGGCGTTGTTGTGGCAGGGGTGGCGGCGGTTGCATCTGGTGCTGGCGGGGATATGGTGGTGCGTGCTGTGCTGCGTGCACTGTTGTCGGGAGTTGCAATGGGCCATTCCCGGAGACATGTTCCTGCTGCTGCCCCTGCTGTTGCTGCCCCTGCTGCTGCTGCATCTGCTGCTTCTGTAGCAAGTGCTGCAAATGCTGCTGCAACAAATGCTGCTGCTGCGGCTGCTGTTCATGCCACCGATCCATCTCTGCTTTCACTGCAGGCTCCGCCCAAACCCCACCTTTCCCAGCAGCAGCAGCAGCAGCAGCATCCGGTGCTAGAGAGGGCTCGATCTGAAGCCCAATGGGCGGAACACTGTGGTTGTGCGTGTTCAGGTACGTCACTCGGAAGAAAATTCTCGAAGTGGGCGGCTTGCCTGCCGCCCCGAGCTGCGCTGCCTGGTCGAAACCGGGCGGCAGCGGTGACGGGTGGGCGGCAGGGGTGAGGGGTAATAATAGGTGCCAGTCGACCCACTTGCGAGCCGGACAGGGGTGGAATACAGTGGGAGAGGGGGCGGTGGCAGTGCTGGCTTTTGCAGCATCAGCAGCAGCGTCAGGATCAGCCTTGGAATAAGGAGTATAAGCATCAGAAGCTGCACCGGAAGCAGCAGGTGCACCAGCATCATCAGCAGCAGAAGCAGCCGGGGAAGGAGCAGGCTGGCCAGCTGAGCCTGGACGCGTTGCTGCCATTGCTGGCGTTGCCTCTTGCGTGGATGCTGCTGTTGGTGTTGCTGCAAGAGTGGATGGTGACGTCGGTGTTGCGGTGGAGCGCGCACAGCGGAAGTACGATCTGCGGTAGGGGGGAGCACGGAGCGCAGGGGGGGAAGCGAGGGGGGGGTGGAGATGGAGGAAAAGCTGAGATCACGGGGGGGATTAGAGCAGCCGGAGGGAGGCACGTGGAGCGCGCACAGCGGCCAAAGGGAGCACGGAGCGCGGGGGGAGGAAGGGAGAGGGAGGGAGGGAGGGAGGGAGGGAGGGAGGGAGGGAGGGAGGGAGGGAGGGAGGGAGGGAGGGAGGGAGGGAGGGAGGGAGGGAGGGAGGGAGGGAGGGAGGGAGGGAGGGAGGGAGGGGGGCGAGGAGGGGAGAGGAGGGGATTTGAGGGAGGGGGGGCGGGGGTGCAGAAGGGTGAAAGAAGAGGGGCGATGTGGGGATGGGAACCAGAGGGAGTGACAGGGGGGAGACGGCAGTATTGTAGCAAGGGAAGGGGACCGACAGGAGTGGTGCATTGAAGCAAGGCGAGGGGACCGACAGGAGTGGTGCATTGTAGCAAGGGGAGGGGACCGACAGGAGTGGTGCATTGTAGCAAGGGGAGGGGACCAACAAGAGTGGTGCATTGTAGCAAGGGGAGGGGACCAACAAGAGTGGTGCATTGTAGCAAGGGGAGGGGACCGACAGAAGTGGTGCATTGTTGGAAGCCTCTAAGGGGCCTGCCAGCAGGCCAGGAATTTGGGTTCTTGTGGAAAATACCATCCCATATAAGGCAGTGCTATGCAACTCAGCAGCAGAAGGGAACAACGAGGACGAGAGGGCGAGTGATCCCTGAGAGAAGCCGTTTCACTAAGCAAATATGTTTAGCAGTTAAAGCGTACCTGTGGCAGGCTGTTTTAACAAGCCGTTTCTCGCCGTACTTGATCCAGCACTGCCCGTCCTCCGGCATCACACCCTGAGGCACGCGCCTCAGCTGCTCCGCGTCCACTGCCGCCCACTGCGGGAACAGCTCCGCCAGCGCTGTGGATTCGCCCGCGGATCCACCGCCATGTTGTTGCTGCTACTGCTGCTGCTGCTGCTGCTGCTGCTGCTGCTGGGTGTCATGATCGCGGCCGTCAGGTAATCCACGGCCATAAAACACCGTACAATGCTTATCAAGCTGGTCTGCTTCGGATTCACAGGCTGTTGGAGCTATCAAGGCGCACGAGGGGGCTTAATCTCTCAGTAGTACCACTCGTGCGAGTTTGCAAAAGGAGCTACGCTGCTTTTATGGAAATCCCACATGAGAGAGAGACACACAGAGAAACGAGCCGCGGGTCTCTCACGCGGCATGCGAGGAGCGGCAATGATACATGAGCGGCAACGACACAGGAAATGGAATGGCTCGCCGCCAGAAGGGGAGGGAGGGAGTAGTTCGTTCGTTGGGAGGAGGGGAAAACGCGGGGAGGAGGTAGTATTCTCGTGGAGGTAGTGGTATTTCGTGGCGAAAACGCGGGGCTTTGACAGCCAATCAAACAGAAACCGCGTGGGACTAACTACCGGCCTCCGGCCTCTGTAATTGAGCCAGAAGCGACCCAGAGTCCAAGCTTTGCAACAGATCTAGGCGGCGAGCGGTAGATTCGCATACAGTACAGTTGTTCCGGGTTAGAGGTCCTCGCTGAAAGAGTCCCTTTTCCCCTTTGGGTAGAGTTTTCCGATATCGCGTAGGGTTGGCCCGACCCCTATAGTCCCATTTTTGGCGGGAAATTTCGCAGCTTGACCGAATCATTGCACGAATCAGCTCCGCAGCCAATCAGAGGCGCCAGATCGAACCAGCCCCAACATTCAGGGAGAACAAGAAATAAGAGATCTTTGATTCGATATTTAACTTTGGAATTGTAAGTATTTTTTTCTCTTGAGCGTGATTAATTCTCAATCCTGTCGCGCATACAAGGCTCGACAATGACATCTCATTTACCTCGCTTACAAGGTAAACGAGAAGTTTTTACCTTCTATTCGACCCCCAAACCTTACTTCATTTTTTTTTTGTTTGCCCGTTTGTCATGCGACATTGATCAGCACGAGGAATCGAATCTACGTAAAAGACAAAATCCAAAGACTAGTAGCGAACAAACCACTCTTCATGCAATTTTCCTGAACGGGACTATAAGTATCGCGTTTTGCCCGGGGTTTGAAGGTTTTCGCACATAGTCCGCGGGCGGCGTCTCAGTCCATAGGACTATAAACGAGAACATTTGTACTTGGGCAATTTAGCGACAAGTGGACAAGTTAGTGACACAAGTCAAAAGTCAGAGAACGTCCTTCGACACATTTTGACGAATGTCGTTTGTGAGTCAAAATACGCGATGCTGGTTCTGCGACTATAGCGGCGGGAGCTAGCTGGATGTGCAGCTGGATTGGCTAGCGACAGCACTAAGGCTTTTAACCGATCAGAGGGATTGGTTAACGATGGCGGTCGGTAGTTGCAGGCGATTTTTTCACCCAATCAGCATGCCACGTGAGGCGCGTCATACGATTTCTAGGTACAGCTTATGCTCATTCGAGTCCCCCATACTTGCCTTACATTTTGGGCTTTTAAGTGATTCTCGCATTTCTCAAGGTTTCGTCAACGTCTCAGCTAGCAAAAAAGGGCTTATTAAAAACTCAATAGTTATACGTTGACAGTTTGAGGTCGGTCTCTCCGTTACCATTGGTTCATCATCACTGCAACTTGCTTGGGAGGCTTGCAAACTGGTTGTCAGCGTGTTGCCCTGCCATGTCCTCCGGCATCCTCTCTTTCTCACGTTCCTGACCCTGAGTCCGACCTTGCTCGTGCTGCTAGTTCTATTGTCACTCGTCTCCTCACCACTGTCGTCACTGACCTTTTTTTTGGGTCTACAACTGCGTGTGCCCTAGTCACTGAGCTAATCGACTTTGCTGCTACTCGTCGTCTCGACTACGTTGCGAGTCTTCTTGTTACTGAGTCTGAGTCTGTCTGTCCTCCGTCCGTCGGGGGTGAGCTTGCCCTTAGCACTGACGTCCTTGATGACAGGCAATTTGAGCTTGAGTGTCTCGCGGCCGTTTTACCCCATTTCGCGTCCATGTTGCCTTGCCTTGAGGGAGACCCGGATGCAATGGACATCCCCACCCCACGCTCTTACGCAGAGGCGATCATGAGTGAGTACTCTTCTCAGTGGCAGACAGCCATGGATGCAGAAAAGGCTTCCTGGAAAATCCACAGGAACCTACGTCGACGAAGTTCCCTCTCCTAGGGCGAACATAGTCGATGGCATGTGGATTTTCATTGTGATGCGGCCGCTGTGTTTTCCTCCTGCCTTCAAGGCGCGTTACGTTGCTCAAGGTTCCAGTCAGAGATAGAGGGTCGACTTCTTCTAGACCTTCTCCCCCACCCCGAAGATGACCATTCTTCGGGTGTTACTGCACATTGCAGCACAGCGTGACTACGAGCTGCACTCTCTCGACTTCTCCACAACTTTCTTGTAGGGCAGCCTTCACGAGGAGACCTGGCTGCGCAGCCCACCTGGCTTCACTGAGTCGTTTCCTGAGGGTACCTAGTGGAGCCTCCTACGGCCGGTCTACGGTCTCCGCCAAGCACCCTGTGAGTGGCACGACACACTGAGGATGACGCTTACGGCTCTTGGGTTCGCTCCTTCAAAAGCTGACCCGTCGTTGTGTCTTTGCGCCGACCCTACTCTGTCGCCGTTCTACATCCTTGTTTATGTCGACGACTTGGTCTTCACTACTGCCGACACTGAGGCGCTGACCCTTGTGAATGAAAAGCTGCAGAAGAGACACACTTGCACTGACCTGGGTGAGCTGCGTAGCTATCTTGGCTTGCAGATCACCCGGGATAGAGCATGGCGCACCATCACTTTGACTCAGTCACACATGGTGCACCAGGTCCTTCAGCGCTTCAGCTTTCAGTTCTCCTCACCACAGCGTACTCCTCTGCGTACAGGCCACTCGCTCTCAGCTCCACCTTCAGACGAGTCCGTTGAGCCAAGTGGCCCATTTCCAGAGCTTGTGGGCTGCCTCATGTTCTTGATGATGTGCACACGACCTGACCTCGCGTACCCTCTCAGGTTCCTTGCTCGCTTCGTCGCGCCCGGGCGACACAGGAAGGAGCACTGGACAGCAGCGCAGAGGGTACTGCGTTACTTGTGCAGTACATCGGACATGGGGCTCGTGCTTGGAGGATGGGGTTCAGTGGTACTCTCAGGACACTCCGACGCTTTTTGGGCCAACGACCAGGCGACTCAGCGGTCGTCACAGGGCTACTCTTTCAGTCTCGGCTCTGATTCTGTCTCGTGGAGGTCCACTCGTTCGTCTTCTGTGCTTGGTTCCAGCAGTGAGGCCGAGATCTACGCTGGGGCCATGGCTGCACAGGATTTACGCTGGCTCACCTACCTGCTGACCGACTTGGGTGAGCGGCCTTGTTATCCTCCAGTTCTGTACGTCGACAACAAGGCCATGATTGCCTTGTGTCACGAGCAGAGACTGGAGCACAGAACGAAGCACATTGCTCTTTGTTAATTTCTTGCTCGGGAGCTGCAGCAGCATGGTCAGTTGCGCCTTGTTTTTGTGGCCTCTTGGGCCAACACTGCTGATGTCTTCACCAAGGCTCTTGTGCCTGGTGATCATCAGCGTTTTTGCACCGCGTTAGGCCTTGTGCCTACTCTGCCTCACCTGCTGGTTGCTTGACTTTGTCTTGTACTGTGATCTATATATTTACCTGCATGCTTGCGCTTGTTATGTTGTGATCACTGTACTGCTTGTGCTTTTATCACTCTGCATGTGAACTGGCCTTGTGGCCGATTGCTTGTGCTCAGACTGCGTGGTGATCTTGAGATCCACCCTAAGCTTTGCTTTGCTTTGTTCTCTTGCTTGACTAGTCTTGTGATCGTTCGTTGTGTTTGCTATCCCCCACTTTGCCTGTGGGGGTGTGTCAAATTGCATTTGTTACCTCTAGGCTGTAATGGGGCTTACTCTAAGGAGTAGAACTTTAAAGAGTACACTTAAGGGTTGCATCTTAGTACTTGTACTTAGTTATTCATTCCTACGTTCTATTTCTGGCAGTGAATCCCCCTCTGCGCGAATGAACAACTATCACTTGGACGCCGTTATGCGGGGAACAGAATGAGGCGCTATGAGCGAGAAACGACGAGCCCATCGCCTTTTTGCAAATCGACTACGAGCTCGGCAAAACGGACCTAATCGGCGACTTGGCGAAAGCGCCAAGCATAAGCGCGGCAGAACGCGGCGACGCTGAACTGCTGTGAGCACAACGGATCCGACGCGCGGCGATGAGGCGAGTAGAACGTGGCGACAAGGCGAGCAGAACGCGGCGACAAGCGCAGAGTAGAACGCGGCGGAGAGCGCGAAGCGAGAAGGTGGTATGGGAGACCGCAGAGCAGCAAGTGTCAGGCGCGTGCCCACGGATTCAACAAGTAATCATCTGAAGCTCGCGCAATACCAGCAGTGGCGCAAAGAGCAGCTTGCGACGTCCACCGGGATCAGAGTGAGGCACAACAATTTCGGTGAGGAAGCAGACCAGCATTCCTATGCATAGATTAGTCCGCTAACCAACTGGGATAAAGGGGCATGTTTCCTTGGTGGGTCAGCGCACCCACACCCCCCAGGACGCACCTGTAGCCCTTGGGGAGAACATTTCGGGCCATTCCAATGTCCACTTCCTGTAACTTTTGAACAGTTATTATTGGATACCCGCGCCACCTAAAGCGTAGGAGGCGGAGTCCAGCACCCTCAGCGGCAGGCGAGGAGGCTAAGAGCTAAGGCATTGATAACAGCGGGCATGGCGGGCCGAGGCGTAGGCACAGGAGGGGGGAGGGGGGCGTGGGGGGGGGTGGGGTGGGGTGGGGGGGGGGGGGGTAAGAGAACGGCGAGGCCGGGGGGGTAGGGGGGGTCGGGCATCAACATAGCAGCGGCAATGGCGGCAGTGGAGGTGGACATTAACATGCCCGTCACTCGATACTTCCGGCGCGCGCACAACCTCAAACGCGCAATATGGCGCTCCTCCCCACGCCCCACCTTTCGCTTCCCCTCCCCCTCTTCCTTGTCCCTTATTTTCGATAAGGATGGAGATTGTGGATGGCAGCAGCATGGAGCATGGCGTAGCCCCGAAGAGAGGGAGGGGTAGAGGCATGAGTGAGGAGGCAGCGATCGATCTGTACCAAGATGCGGTTTGGGCTTTCAATAATGCTATTCTGCTGAGGACTGTCTGGGAGAGTGAAGGTCTGAAGAATACCCTCAGAGGAGAAGAATGCTTTGAGAATGTGATTTCGGAATTCCACTACCGTCGGAGGGTAGCTACTCTATTTTGGTCTTGAAGTGTGGATTAGGTGGATTATGAGGGGATCCCAACTAGATAAGGTTGGGATGACAAATCTACACCCAACCTACAAATAGCCTTCGTGATATAAACCATAGTATTGATAGTACATTTATAACACACCTTGTAGGCTGTAACACATCAACCACAGGACAACCGAACACCGATGGAAGTGAGGAGGTGGTGATGGTCCTGGCGACCAAGTGACTTGGTGAACAAGTTAGCAAGGTTGCAGTCGGAGGGAGTAATGCTAAAACTCATGTGCTTGGTGCGGCTATGGAAGACGGGGCCCTTTGGTGCTTTCGTTGTCACACCACAGTGTGGGAGCTGGTTGAGGATACCCGAGTTCTGCAACCATAAAGGAGAGCCAACGGGCCTCCTAGGCAGCCATGGTCTCGGCATACAGCTCTGCCTCACAAGACGACAGTGGAACTGAGGATGATCGAGTGGAGCGCCAACTCACGACTCCACTGCCAAGGGTAAAGCAATACCCTTGAGAAGAGCGCCGATCACTCTGATCATCAAAATATGAAGAATCACTGTACCCCTCAAGACAAACAGGTGAACAGTCGCCAAGACTGAGCAAATAATCACGTGTGCGTTTAAGGTTGCAAAGAACCAGCTTGGCGGCAGACCAGTGTTGTTTGGTGAAGCGACCGGGTGCAACATAGTGAGGTGGTACACTGACTGGGTACGCCAAGTCTGGTGGTGTGCACATCATTGCACACATGAGGGATCCAACAGGCTCGGGGTATGGCTTGTCACAGCGCTCTGAGGGAACGGAGGGTGCAGTGAGCTGGTGCTGGAGAGAGAGTGGGGTAGGAATTGGTGTTGCTTTCTCCATCTTGAATTGCTCTAGGACGTTGTTAATGTAAAATTTTTGAGAAAAGGTGATGTGCGGGCCGTGCGATCACGTGTGATTTCCATGTCTAAATAGTTCGTCGGCTTCCCAAGATCCTTAATGGTAAGCTTCTCACCAAGTGCGGTTTTGACTGCAGCCAACTCAGCATGATCTTTGTCATCGATATAAACCAGGATGAAAAAGCGGGATGGGGTTGCTCTGATGAAGAGGCTGGGATCAGAGGTGGATGGGTGAAAGTCGAGGGACTCTAAGGTGCCTTTGAGTTTGTTCTGCAATTCCCGGGGTGCTTGCTTGAGGCCATACACTGGCCGATTCAGCTTCCATACAGTGTCTGGTGGAAAGGGAGCTGGGAATCCTTGGGCCACTCCATATAGATTTTTTCTCAAAGGACCCCTTGGAGAAAGGCAGAAGTCACTTCCGTGCAGTTAGCCTCTATGTCATCTCGAGCAGCAACATCAAGAAGGGAGTGTAGTGTGGGGGTTTTGGCTGTGGGTGAAAACGTCTCAAAGAAGTCGGGTCCTTGATTTTGGGTAAATCCCTCGGCACCGTGCTTTGAAAACAGGCAGGAGGAGTTGGAACAAGAGGAGATGATGGAGGAGGGGAGGAGGGGGGAAGGAGCGAGGGTGACTGTGAAATGCTAGAAGAAGAAGTGGGTTGTGGAGGGTTCGGACTCCGACATGGTGGAGGGAGCGGGAAGAGGAGGAGATGGGGTGGCGGTGGCAGGAAGACTATCAAAGTCAGCCCAGGTAAGAGAAGGAGGAGGAGGAGATGGGGAAGAGATGGAGGGGTAGAACGGGTGAGACTCATCAAAAAAGACATATTGGCTGCGATAGAGCTTGTTGGTGGCAGGATGGAGAGAAACGTAGCTCGGAGAGTCAGAGTTGTGCCCGAGGTACACGAAGGTGATTGTCTTGAGAGCGAGCTTGCCGCCAGCTGCACGACGGGCTTGGAAGTTGAGGAGGACATATGAGGTGCATCTCCATACACGGAGAGGGCAGGCGGACGGCTTCTGACCCGTCCATAGCTCAACGGGGGTGGTGTGGGCATGGTGAGGATGAGGATGGAGATTGTAGAGGGCAGCAGCATGAAGCATGGCATCACCCCAAAGGGAGGGAGGGGCGGAGGCATGAGTGAGGAGGCAGCGATCGATCTGTACCAAGATGTCGTTTGGGTTTTCAACAATGTCATTATGCTGAGGACTGTCTTGGAGAGTGAAGGTATGAGGACTCCCAATGACACTTGAGAGTGTGATTTTGGAATTCGCCACCACCGTCGGAGTGTAGACACTTGTTTTTGGTCTTGAAGTATGTTTGAGCCTGCTAGACCCATTTCATGATAGTGGCAAGGGCTTCTGACTTGGAAGTGAGAAGATGGACGGAAACATAGCGGGGGGAGTCATCAATGATGACAAGGAAGTAGGAAAGCCCACCACGAGAACGAACTGGAGCAGGACCCCAAAGGTCCATGTGCACGCCGTTTAAAGGTGTAGTGGAGACGAATTGAGTGGGAGGATGGAGCATTCCATGGCAGACTGCACGCCTCCTTGTCGCGTATGATGGTGGGGTCAAGGCCGTCAGTGCGGATGGGGTCGGAGAAGAGGAAGCAGAGGCGATGGGGGCGCGGCAGCAGACAACCCAGCCAGTCAGGGGGGATTGCATGCAGACAGGCAAGGAGGGAGACCCACTGAACTGACCCACCTGGTAGATCCTGCTGCACTCCTCCTTGTCTCGTATGATCGTGGGGTCAAGCCCGTCCGTGCGGATGGGGTCAGAGAAGAGGAAGTAGAGGCGCTGGGGGCGCGGCAGCAGGCCGGCATTGGAGGCGAGGGGAAAGGGGGGCGACTGCATGCCCGTGGCCTGCAATGCTGGCTTCAGCCAGGGGCCAATGGGAGAGGACATAATTTCCCTGAGATCAGGCATGGGAGGAGCAGAGAGAGGAGACGTGGGGAGGGTTGGGAAGGAGAGGAAAGAATAAGGGGGCTGTGAGGAGGCGAGGGGGAAGGGGACCGTCTGCATGCCCGTGGCCTGTAGTGCTGGCTTCAACCAGGGGCTGATGGGAGAGAACATGATCTCGCTGTAAGGTCAGGGGTGGAGGGGAGCAGAGATGGGGGAGGTGGGGAGGGGTGGGAAGGGGAGGAGAAAATAAGGGGGTTGTAAGAAGCCCAGCATTGGAGGCGAGGGGGAAGGGCACTGTCTGCATGCCGGTGGCTTGTAGTGCTGGCGTCAACCAGGGGCCGATGGGAGAGGTCACTATATCCCTGTGGGTTGAGGAGTAAGGGGGAAGAGGGGGGCCGGTGAAGGAGGAGAGCTTAAGGGGAATGTGATAAGGTCGGCATAGAGGCGAAAGCAAAGGTATGCGTGCATGCTAGATGGGGGAGTGTGGCAATATGGTGGCTCGATCGTGCTGGTTGGAATCAAGTGGCACCTGAATGGTATATGTGTCGAATGCGTTCTCCACACTCAGTGGCCACTGAACCATTCACTCAGGGTCCATGAGCACGTCAAATGCGTCCTCCACTCCGATAGTAGAAGAGAACGGCACGATGGTGGCACCACAGCGCACCGCACCGCACCGCACCGCACCAGGTGCTTTCCCCCCCGCCCATGCAAGGCACTCACTCAGGATGCATGAGCATGTCAAATGCGTCCTCCACTCCAATGGTGGAAAACGGCAGGATGGGTGGAGCCACAGCGCACGGCAATGCACACAAAGTCGGTGGTGTCTGGCTGTGCGCACATAATATGGAAAGGCAGAGCACACATCATGGTTTTTGAGAATTCTCAAGAACCAGCTACACCATGGTATGGCAAGGCACACCAGCTACACCATGGTATGGCAAGGCACACCAGCTACACCATGGTATGGCAAGGCACACCAGCTACACCATGGTATGGCAAGGCACACCAGCTACACCATGGTATGGCAAGGCACACCAGCTACACCATGGTATGGCAAGGCACACCAGCTACACCATGGTATGGCAAGGCACACCAGCTACACCATGGTATGGCAAGGCACACCAGCTACACCATGGTATGGCAAGGCACACCAGCTACACCATGGTATGGCAAGGCACACCAGCTACACCATGGTATGGCAAGGCACACCAGCTACACCATGGTATGGCAAGGCACACCAGCTACACCATGGTATGGCAAGGCACACCAGCTACACCATGGTATGGCAAGGCACACCAGCTACACCATGGTATGGCAAGGCACACCAGCTACACCATGGTATGGCAAGGCACACCAGCTACACCATGGTATGGCAAGGCACACCAGCTACACCATGGTATGGCAAGGCACACCAGCTACACCATGGTATGGCAAGGCACACCAGCTACACCATGGTATGGCAAGGCACACCAGCTACACCATGGTATGGCAAGGCACACCAGCTACACCATGGTATGGCAAGGCACACCAGCTACACCATGGTATGGCAAGGCACACCAGCTACACCATGGTATGGCAAGGCACTCGAGGCACTCACTCGGGGTCCATGAGCACGTCAAATGCGTCTTCCACCCCGATAGTAGAAAATGGCACGATGGTGGCACCACAGCGCACCGCGATGCGCACAAAGTCAGTCGTATCGCGCCAGAACAGCTTGTACTTCTCGTTCTTCCGCTTCCCCACCTCCCTGCCGCCCCCCGGGTACAGCAGCAAGTTCTCCCCCTCCCTCAGCAGCTGGTAGCATGCTCGGGGGGATACCTGCAGCGAGTGGGGAGGGTTTGAGCAGGACAGGGATTGGGAGGGTTTGAGCAGGACACGGATTGGGAGGGTGGGGTTGTGAGAACTGAAAGGTCTCCTCCCTGCCGCCACCCGGGTATAGTAGCAAATTCTCCCCCTCCCTCAGGAGCTGGTAGCACACGCGAGGGGACACCTGCAGCATGATGAGAGGGAGCGAGGAGCATAAGTCAGTGCGACAACTGACAGGTCACTTCCCTCCTCCCCCCATTCCTCCCGGGTACAACAGTATGCTCTCCCACTCCCTCAGGAGCTGGTAGCACGCGCGAGGGGACATCTGCGGCATGATGAGAGGGAGGGAGGAGGGTAGGTCAGTGGTGTCATGCCAAAACAGCCTTTTTCAGTCATGTGCAGCTTGTTCTTCCCTTTTATACCACTCACCTTCCCTTTTCTTCCCTTTTATACCACTCACCTTCCCTTTTCTTCCCTTTTATACCACTCACCTTCCCTTTTCTTCCCTTTTATACCACTCACCTTCCCTTTTCTTCCCTTTTATACCACTCACCTTCCCTTTTCTTCCCTTTTATACCACTCACCTTCCCTTTTTTTCCCTTTTATACCACTCACCTTCCCTTTTCTTCCCTCAAAAGTCGTTGATGGTACGCCCAGAGGGTAGGTCAGTGGTGTCGCGCCAGAACAGCTTGTACTTCTCGCCACTCCACTTCCCCACCTCTCTCAACCCTGGCGATACAACCTGCCTTTACAACCACCACTCCCATCCCCGCCCCAACCCCCACCGTCTCACCCACACAGCACCGTCATTGGTGAACCGGTCTGCAAAGGGGCTCTGCCGATGCCGTCTATTCGCCTTCAACTAAAACATGCTAATCCCATCCCCATCCCCATCCCCATCCCCATTCCCATCCCCATCCCCATCCCCATCCCCATTCCCATCCCCATTCCCATCCCCATCCCCATTCCCATCACCATCCCCATCTCCATTCCCATCCCCATCCCCATCCCCATCCCCATCCCCATTCCCACCCCATCCCCATTCCCATCCCCATTCCCATCCCCATTCCCATCCCCATCCCCGCCCCAAACCCCCCAATCTCACCCGCACGGCACCGTATTTGGTGAACTGGGCAGCAAAGGGCCCCTGCCAGTGGGTGGGCGCGCCCAGCCCTCTTAACGTGACTCCCGTGCGCATGTGAATGTCTCGGATCATGAGCGGCCTGGCAGGGAAGGGGAGGGGTGGAAGGAGGAGGCACTCAAACTGATGAATGGACGAAAACAGTGGATACTGCTAGAGGGAGGCGAGCAGCGCGCAGCCAGCCCTATGAGAGTGAAACCCGGGAGCAGTGAGATGTAATATGAGGCGCCTCAAAATTCGAGTGACTTTTGAGAATTCTCAAAAGTCACTCGTACGCAGCCAGCCCTACGAGAGTGAAACCCGCGAGCAGTGAGGTGTGTTATGAAGCACCTCAAAATGCGAGCAGCGCGCATGTGGATGCCTCGGATCATGAAAGGCATGTGAAATAAGACTGGTTTTGAGGCGTCTCAAAATCATGAGAGGCCTGCAGAGGGGTGGAAGGAGGAAGACTGCACATAGATGCATCTCCTGGCAGGCGAGAGAGACATGGATGGAGAGATGCAGGAGGTTGAAGAAGTGTTTTGAGACGTCTCAAAACACTTCTTCAGTCTCATGGCAGGCAAGGCAAGAGAGACATGGATGGAGAGATGCAGGAGCCACCCTGTACGACCCTAAACCCTGCCCCACCTTCCCCCCACCTTTCAACACTCCCAAAAACGTGCATGGCATACATACCGAAGATGGTGTGGTTCCCCACAAACAGCAGCCTGCCCGCCCGGAGGGTTGGTGCTCCCAGTGGCCTTGGATTCGAGTGACTTGCGCATCTGTAAAGATGGGCAACCAACCAAATCCGCTTTTGAGTCGACTCAAAAGTAAGATGGGCAACCAACCAAATCCGCTTTTGAGTCGACTCAAAAGTAAGATGGGCAACCAACCAAATCCGCTTTTGAGTCGACTCAAAAGTAAGATGGGCAACCAACCAAATCCGCTTTTGAGTCGACTCAAAAGTAAGATGGGCAACCAACCAAATCCGCTTTTGAGTCGACTCAAAAGTAAGATGGGCAACCAACCAAATCCGCTTTTGAGTCGACTCAAAAGTAAGATGGGCAGCCAACCAAATCCGCTTTTGAGTCGACTCAAAAGTAAGATGGGCAGCCAACCAAATCCGCTTTTGAGTCGACTCAAAAGTAAGATGGGCAACCAACCAAATCCGCTTTTGAGTCGACTCAAAAGTAAGATGGGCAACCAACCAAATCCGCTTTTGAGTCGACTCAAAAGTAAGATGGGCAACCAACCAAATCCGCTTTTGAGTCGACTCAAAAGTAAGATGGGCAACCAACCAAATCCGCTTTTGAGTCGACTCAAAAGTAAGATGGGCAACCAACCAAATCCGCTTTTGAGTCGACTCAAAAGTAAGATGGGCAACCAACCAAATCCCATTTCCCCCCTCTCCTTCCCAACCCTCTTCCCCTCTTCCCCACTTCCTCCTCAACCCCCCCCAACGCACATGTCATAGATGCCGAAGATGGTGTGGTTTCCCACAAACAGCAGCTTCTCCTCGTTGCGCGGAATCTTCTCCAACCCTGCCATGCGCCACGGGGCGTGGAGGGTTGGCGGAAGGGGATGGGGGATGACATGGGACATGGCATGGCATGGCATGGCATGACGAACAGCAGCTTCCCCTCGTTGCGCGAAATCTTTTCCAACCCTGCCATGTGCCGTGAGGGTGGCGGGTGGGGGGATGGGGGGGCGGGGTGGGGATGAAATGAGTCAAACATGGCATGGTAACCAGCAGGCTGCCCTGGTGTTTTGAGACGTCTGATAATAAAAGTGTTTTGAGATGTCTGATAATAAAAGTGTTTTGAGATGTCTGATAATAAAAGTGTTTTGAGATGTCTCAAAACAAAGTGTTTTGAGACGTCTGATAATAAAAGTGTTTTGAGATGTCTGATAATATAAGTGTTTTGAGATGTCTCAAAACAAAGTGTTTTGAGACGTCTGATAATAAAAGTGTTTTGAGATGTCTCAAACAAAGTGTTTTGAGACGTCTGATAATAAAAGTGTTTCGAGACTTCTCAAAACAAACATGGCATAGCATGGCATGGTAGCCAGCAGGCTGCCCTGGTTGCAAGGAATCTTTTCCAACCCTGCCATGCTGTGGTGTGGAGGGTGGGGGTTTGGGGAAAAGAGATGAATTGAGACGTTGCGTTGCATGGCATGCCATGGCATGGCATGGCACAGCACGGCACAGCACTGCGTGGCACACTATGCCGGTATTTCTCACCCATTCATGCACATGTCAACATAAAGGGGCCGTGCAACCCAGTTCCAGAGGCGAGGCGGTATTGAGGCATGTCATCCAGCATGCCGACCAATGGACCGGCTACACACATTGCTTTATTTCGCACAGTACAGCACACACACGGCACACACCACACGGCACACACCACACGGCACACACACACCACACGGCACGCAGCACACGGCACGCAGCACACGGCACACACCACACGGCACACACCACACGGCACACACACACCACACGGCACGCAGCACACGGCACGCAGCACACGGCACACACCACACGGCACACACCACACGGCACACACCACACGGCACACACCACACGGCACACACCACACGGCACACACCACACGGCACGCACCACACGGCATGCAGCACACCATGACCATATCACACACACACACCCACACGTACCAACATAGAGAGGCCCGGCCACCCAGTTCCAGAGGCGGTACTGAGGCATGTCATCCAGCATACCCTCCAGTGCTCGTCCCACCTCCCACACACCCACAGACTAGCCAAGCACAGACAGACACAGCACATTATTCCATGCAAACATACACACATACCAACATAGAGAGGCCGTGCGACCCAGTTCCAGAGGCGGTACTGCGGCATGTCATCCAGCATACCCTCCAGTGCCCGCCCCACCTCCCCTGCCGTCGCCCGCCCCTCCACCGACCCCATGTACCTCCCACCTTCCACTCCCCCTTCCCTTTTCCCTTCCCCTTTCGCTTCCACTTTTCCTTCCTTGCCTCCCTGCTGCTGCTCCTCTTTCCTCCTAGCCCTTGCTTCCCCCACCACACTCCCCACGCCGCTCCATTGCATTGCTTTCTCTGTGGATGAAGCAGCAGCAGTGGCAGTGACAGAGCCAGCGGCATTATTACCAGGTTTCGCACCAGCTCCTGTCCCCTTATTAACAGCTCCGATACTGGAACTACCATTTGTGGCACTAGTAGAACTGGGGAGTGCAGCTCCATTAGCTGCATCAGGAGCACCAGAACGCGCAGCTGCAGCAGCAGAACCGGCACCACCACCACCACTGCCCTCTGCACCCCTCTCTGCATGCCCGTTATTAGCACGCACAGAACGGGAGGCAGCAGATGCTGTAGCTTTGGACTGGGGTGGGGAACCCAAAGCGGACTGAGAGGAGAGAGAATCAGGTGCAGCTTGAGAGGCGGAGGCAGCTTCAGAAGCAGAGGCAGCTTGAGGGAACATGCGATCAGCCCATGCGGCATCCCCTTTACCCTTCATCATCTCATAGTACCCATCCAGCCTCAAACCACGCTTGGCCTTGTTGACTTGCTCCCCTTGATTCCCTTGCAGTCCCTCCCGTTGTCTTTCCTTCCCTCCTCCCTGCCTCTCACCTCTACCCTCATCCTCCTTCCGCACCACATCATTCTCTACCCACAAGCTCTTCCGCACTCCCTCCTCCTCTCCTCTGCCCTCTTCCCTCCTCCCCTTGCTCCACTCCCGTAAACTCCTCACTATCCCTCCTTTTCCCCCTCCCCCTCCCACAACCCCTCTAGTTTCCACTCTCCCCTTCTCCATCCCCTTCCAAACCTCCGCCGAACCCCCGTCCTTCCGAGCCTGGGCCGCCCGAACCTGAGACCATTCCCGAAGCACCACCTCTCCCTGCGCCTCCTCCCGCTTCCGAGAAACTTCCACCCACACATCTCCTCCATTCTCCCCCCCTTCAGCTTATATCCCAGCATCTCCTATCTCTGCTCTTGCCACCGCTTCCGTTTCTGCTCCTACTGTTGCTCCTGCCACTGCTGCTGCTGGCACCCCTCCTGTTTCTGCTGCCACCACTCTTGCCACTGCAACTGCTGCTTCTGCTGTTGTTGTTGCCACTGCTGCTACTGTTTCCGCTGCCACTGCTGCTGCTGGCACCCCTGATGCTTCGGCTGCCACCACTCTTGCCGCTACCACAGCGGCTGCTGCTGTAGTCGTTGCCACTGCTGCTGCTGTTTCTGCTGCCACAGCGGTCGCTGTTGCCAGCACAGCAGAAGCAGAGTTAAAAATCGCTTCCTCTTGGCCTCTCGAGAGGAAAGCAGCAGCAGGGGCAGCAGCAGCAACACTCTCAAGTTCAGGCTCTGCGAGAATTCCCACATTTCTTGGCATTGTGGACACATCATTGGAGGCAAACGCAGCAGCATCAGCATCAGGGCCTGTGATTGGTCCGGCATCCGTGGCAGCAGAACCGGCCAATCCAAGCACAGCAGCCACGTCAGCATCATTCCAGTCCTTCCCCTCCATGCTGAACTCGCCCTCCTCATCGCTGCTGTACCCTGCAGCACCCTCCACTCCTGAACTTTCACCTGAACTTCTGACTGCTGCACTTGGTGCCGTGATGCCACCCGCGCTGCTGATACCAATTCGGCTTGCACCGTTCATTGCAGGTTCGGCAGCAGACGAAGCACTGCTATTGGCAGGGCTCTTATCCTCGCTATAAGCAGGCTCGTCGTCATCAGAGGGAGGGACAGGGTCCAGAGGAAAGGCAGCAGAGGGCAGCAACACTCTGCACTCCTCCAGAATGTCCCGCAGAGAAACGCCCGCCTGATAGAAGGGGAGAGGGAGAAGACGGAGTGGGGCAGGGGGGTGAAGGGAAACGGTGGCCCGAGCACTTGGTTTGTACTTATAATGCGCTCAGGAAGCAGAGAGAAGGCAGCAGACGGCAGGAGACACCCCACCTTCCTTGCAGAATCTCCCGCAGAGAAACACCCGCCTGACGGACAGGGGTGGGTTGATTGACAGTGGGAGGGATGACAGAAGGGGTTGGGTAAGAATGTACAGCTTTCAGCGGTGTGGCTTATCCAACCCCTTCTCCAGCAACCAAGAAGCCTGGTTTATGCCTTTTACCTAGCCTTACAGAGCAACCCACCCACTACACTTAGCTGAAAGGCTTACAGAGACCACCACACAGCTTGCTGCGGCTCGCCTTCTTCCTTGTTTACTCTGTTGTGTGATGGCACTTATCCAACCTCTTCTCCAGCAACCCAGAAAAGATGGCTCATCTCTAGCAACAAAGTGTGGCTGGAGATGGGCTTTAAGCCGGCTAAAGACTCACCTCTAGCAGGGCAGTGTGGCCGGAGAAAGGCAGAATCTTGATGCGGCACGATGGGATGCACGTCGCGAGTCCATATGCTTCCTCCACTGATGGTATCAACCGGTCCTCCCCACTGCATGCACGCAATGGATGGGTGGAGATGGGTGGAGATGGGTCAAGATGGTTACACCATATACCATGTCGCCAGAAAGTATGCCTCCTCCACTGATGGTGTCAGCCAGTCCTCCCCACTGCACACATGCATGCATGCAATGGGTGGAGATGGGTCAAGATGGGTCAAGTGAGGGAGGTCGAGTTCACGTTGCCACCCACCCTGTAAGCCTCCTCTACTGATGGTATGAGCGGGTCCTCCCCACCCCACTGCATGCAAGCAAGCAAAGGGAGGGTGAACATGGGCCCTGACAAGGTCTGCTTGTGAGTCGACTCAAAAGAGGAGGAGAAGGGGGCACCGCCTCTGGGACTCCCGGACTGCTTTTGAGTCGACTCAAAAGGGAGGGTGCACATGGGCCCTCACAAGGTCTCACGATTGGGTTTCACAGTCAATAACACATTAGGCTTTCAGGGACACGTTTACACGTCAAGCCATCGATCAGTTCATCATTGTGTTTCTGCTCATTGTGGTGCCCCATCTCATGCCCTATGCCCCATGCCCCGTTCCTCATACCACATGGCCCAAACCCCGTTCCTCATACCACATGGCCCAAACCCCGTTCCTCATACCACATGGCCCAAACCCCGTTCCTCATACCACATGGCCCAAACCCCGTTCCTCATACCACATGCCCCACCTCATGCCCCATGCCTCATTCCCCATTCCCCATACCACATGCCCCATTCCCCATGCCCCATTCCCCATGCCCCATTCCCCATGCCCCATGCCCCATGCCCCATTCCCCATGCCCCATTCCCCACACCACATGTTGCATGCCACATGCCCCACGTCTCATGCTCATGTTACATGCCCCTGACCTCACCCATGCCCATGCCTCATGCCTCATGCCATAGATTGGCTGTAGCATGGCACCGGACAGCTGTAGCACAGCCTAAGCGATCACCTGGCAATGAGCAGAGTGCTGTCTGTGACGGACTGTAGCATGGCAAGTGAAAAAAACTTTGCCCAACCAGGAGGAATGTCCCGTGCACCCTCGCTTTAAGTGCCCACCTGACAATGAGCAGGGTGCTGGCTGTGATGGACTGTAGCATGGCGTCAGATGGCTGTAGCGCAGACATCATGGCAACACGGCGTGCCACCGTTGCTGGTGGAAGCACGCTCGTGCTGGTGGGGAGAGGGGGTGGAAGAAGGAGGGGGTGCAGGGAAGGAGGAGAAGAGGGGACCGGGTGAAAAGGGGAACGGGGTCAAGGTGTGAAGGGCGAAAAGGTGACAGGGTGAAGGGGTACAAAAAGGCACAGAAAGAACCTGAAGGGCGCAGAAAGAACCTGAAGGGCGCAGAAAGAACCTGAAGGGCGCAGAAAGAACCTGAAGGGCGCAGAAAGAACCTGAAGGGCGCAGAAAGAACCTGAAGGGCGCAGAAAGAACCTGAAGGGCGCAGAAAGAACCTGAAGGGCGCAGAAAGAACCTGAAGGGCGCAGAAAGAACCTGAAGGGCGCAGAAAGAACCTGAAGGGTGCAGAAAGAACCTGAAGGGCGCAGAAAGAACCTGAAGGGCGCAGAAAGAACCTGAAGGGTGCAGAAAGAACCTTAAGGGTGCAGAAAGAACCTGAAGGGCACAGAAAGAACCTGAAGGGCGCAGAAAGAACCTGAAGGGCGCAGAAAGAACCTGAAGGGCGCAGAAAGAACCTGAAGGGCGCAGAAAGAACCTGAAGGGCGCAGAAAGAACCTGAAGGGTGCAGAAAGAACCTGAAGGGCGCAGAAAGAACCTGAAGGGCGCAGAAAGAACCTGAAGGGTGCAGAAAGAACCTTAAGGGTGCAGAAAGAACCTGAAGGGCGCAGAAAGAACCTGAAGGGCGCAGAAAGAACCTTAAGGGTGCAGAAAGAACCTGAAGGGCGCAGAAAGAACCTTAAGGGTGCAGAAAGAACCTGAAGGGTGCAGAAAGAACCTGAAGGGCGCAGAAAGAACCTTAAGGGCGCAGAAAGAACCTGAAGGGCGCAGAAAGAACCTTAAGGGTGCAGAAAGAACCTGAAGGGTGCAGAAAGAACCTGAAGGGCGCAGAAGGAACCTTAAGGGTGCAGAAAGAACCTGAAGGGTGCAGAAAGAACCTGAAGGGCGCAGAAGGAACCTTAAGGGTGCAGAAAGAACCTTAAGGGTGCAGAAAGAAAGAACCTGAAGGGCGCAGAAAGAACCTGAAGGGTGCAGAAAGAACCTGAAGGGCGCAGAAAGAACCTTAAGGGTGCAGAAAGAACCTGAAGGGTGCAGAAAGAACCTGAAGGGCGCAGAAAGAACCTTAAGGGCGCAGAAAGAACATGAAGGGCGCAGAAAGAACCTTAAGGGTGCAGAAAGAACCTGAAGGGTGCAGAAAGAACCTGAAGGGCGCAGAAGGAACCTGAAGGGCGCAGAAAGAACCTTAAGGGTGCAGAAAGAACCTGAAGGGTGCAGAAAGAACCTGAAGGGCGCAGAAGGAACCTTAAGGGTGCAGAAAGAACCTGAAGGGTGCAGAAAGAACCTGAAGGGCGCAGAAGGAACCTTAAGGGTGCAGAAAGAACCTTAAGGGTGCAGAAAGAAAGAACCTGAAGGGCGCAGAAAGAACCTGAAGGGTGCAGAAAGAACCTGAAGGGCGCAGAAAGAACCTGAAGGGTGCAGAAAGAACCTGAAGGGTGCAGAAAGAACCTGAAGGGCGCAGAAAGAACCTTAAGGGCGCAGAAAGAACATGAAGGGCGCAGAAAGAACCTTAAGGGTGCAGAAAGAACCTGAAGGGTGCAGAAAGAACCTGAAGGGCGCAGAAGGAACCTTAAGGGTGCAGAAAGAAAGAACATGAAGGGTGCAGAAAGAACCTGACAGACGCAGAAAGCACCTGGCGAACAAACAAAGCACCTGAAGGGCGGGGTGATGAGGGTCCTTTCTCTCTCCCCCAGGCTGTCCCAATCACAGAGCAGAGGCGCGAGCGCCACGGAGGACAGCTGCGCCAAGACAGGAATGTCTGGCACAAAGGGTGCCTGGGGTAGGGAGAGGGATGGGGATGGAAGCAGGGCGGGGAGATGGTGGATGGGAGTTAGAGAGGAGAGGTGAGAGAGGTGCAAAGGGTGCCTGGCATGGGTAGAGGGATGGGGATGGTGGGTGGGGGATAGGGAGGAGAGGGAAAGAAGGTGGGAAGAAGTCAGAGAGGAGAGGCGCGAGGGCCAAGGAGGAGAGCTGCGCCAAGACAGGAATGTCCGGTGCTAAGGGTGCCTGGCATGGGGAGAGGGAAAGAAATGGGCATTGGATGGCCATGGGAATGAATGACTGAGAGGTGGAAGAGGACGAAAGAGGAGAGGAGGAAAGAGCACGAAGATGGGAATCAAGCCAGGGAGAAGGGGGTTTAGGGAAGAAAGAACTAAAGACCTGCTGCTGTCTGGGTCTCATGTCAAAAGACCATTGGGTGGTAGGGGAGAGGCAGGAGGAGGACTTTGAAGCGAGAGTGCTTTTAAGGAGCATCTAAGAGAGCAAGGCTGTTGGGGCAGCGATGGTGTATTTGCAAATTCGCCCCCGAGGTGTGCTTCGTTGGTGTGGTTAGAGAGGCGTGGTTAGAAGAGAAGAGGGAAGTATCGGGCTCACCAGCGGCGCTCCGAGCTGAAGGGCTGGCTGCCGGCGAAAGCCACTCGCACTGCATTGGTTGGAGGGATGGGATGGGATGGGATGGGATGGGATGGGATGGGATGGGATGGGATGGGATGGGATGGGATGGGATGGGATGGGATGGGATGGGATGGGATGGGATGGGATGGGACAGAATGGGATGGGAAAAGGAGTAGGGAATCAATCATTAAATGGTAGAATCGAAGGGCCTGGCACACACACACACCCATCCACACACATATGCATGCGCACCTGTTGCATATGACGAGGTGGGCATGGGTAGCAGCGAGGGAGAGTGCCACCCCCGCCACTGCTGCCACCACAAACCCACACCCACACACCCACGCCCCCATTCCCTCGCACGCACCTGTTGCAAATGGCGAGGTGGGTAACCAGGTTCGCATGGGTGGCAGTGGCAGGCAGCGAGGGAGAGTGCCACCCCCACTCCGAGTGACTCCGCCACCACTGGCACTGCTGCAGGCACATGCATGCAGCATGCACACACTTGCACAAACATACACCCACACGCACCCACACCCACCTGTTGCAGATGACGAGGTGGGCAACCAGATGCGAGTGCTTAGCAGAGAGGGAGAGCGCCACCCCCGCTCCAAACGACTCTGCCACCACTGTCACTGCCGCAGGCGCCGCTGCTGCTGCATCTTCCAGTGCAGGTGTTGCAGGTACTGCAGGTGCTGCGGCTTCTTCTGCTGCAGGTGCTGCGGTTGTGCCTGCCCCTGCAGGCATTCCGTCCTCATCAGAGGCGTATCCCATGGCTCTTGCACCCAAGGACGCTTGCAGCAGCAGCAGCGCGGTCTCCCTCCGCAGGTCCTGCTCTTGCTGAATAAGATCCGCCACACTGGCGGCGAGTGCGTCGAGGGGGAGGACGGGGTGGCCGAGAGGGAGGGGAGAGGGAGGGGCAGAGGGAGGGGCAGAGGGACGGGGAGGGGGAGGGGGATGGGAGAGGGAAGGAGAGGGGAAGGGGAGCGGGAGGGGAGAGGGAGGGGAGCGGGAGGGTGGGGGGGAGAGGAGGCGAGGGAAAAGGTGGGAAAGGCGGGAGGTGGAGGGGATTGGAGGCAAGGTATTGGGTGTGTGTGCACGCGTGGGACCACTCACTGATTCACAGGCTGATCGTGCTCCTGAGGGGGGAAATGCAATGCAGTGCCTTTTGAGTCGACTCAAGGTCACCTCGTTACAATGGCAATGTCCTGTCTTTCGTCACGCGTGGATGGAATGGAATCACTGCTTCATGCGCAGATCATGCTCGTGAGGGCGGAGATGCAGAGGCAGCTGTAGTATTATAAAGTGCCGCTATAACCGTGTCCTCACTCAATGCCGCTACAGCCGTATCACTCAGTGGTGCTACAGCCATCTGCATGACTGACTGTTACAGGCATAACAACCAATCACAGCACTCACAGCTGGGAGAGCTGGGCGTAGGAAGAAGTATCAGCAGCCGGGATGCAGAGGCACCGCACATCGTAGCAAGGCCTTAAGCCCTCCAGGTGGCGCTCTAGGAATACGCCCTGGAGGGTGGTGGGAGTGGAAGGGTGGTGGGTGTGGAAGGGTGCGCATTGCAGGGTAAGGAACGGAAGGGAAGTGAAGGGACAGAAAGAGGGGCAAGGGAACGCCCTGGGGGGTGGGGGGAGTAGGGTGGGTGGGCGATGGTCGATGCATAGCATAGGGAAGAAGAGGGACAGAAAGAAGGACGACAAGTACATGCGTTCCCTGTTCATTTCGTTCCTTCCTTCCTACCATCTCCGTTACTCCTCTCACTGTCTTTTCCAGCCCGAGCAGGTACCCGGGCAGAAGAGCCGGCACCTCTGGCCAACTCTTTGAGGCGCCTCAAAAGTCACCTCAGGCGAAAACCTACACCCTAAACCCGAAACCCGCGCCGCTTCCACCACTAGCCCCTACCACCTCTCACCGTGCCGTCTAGTCCGGGCAGGTACACGAGCAGCGGCAGCTCGCGTCGCATGCCGCACGGCGCCAGGAATCGCGGGCCGTCCGTCGCGCGGCTCGCCTCCAGCGCCACCTGCACCAGATCGCGCCCGCTCACGTCCCAGATCCACCGCGCCGCGTCCCCGATTGAATCATCCGCGCTACTAGCAGCCCCGTTAGAGTCGTTCTCGTCATTGACGCGTGGCCGTTTGTCGGAAGCATCGTCCGCGGCTGTAGCGCCAGCCCTCTCATCCACCGGCCCATCGCGGTCCCCGCTCCCCCCTTCCGCGCTGCGAGTCGCGTCAATTCGACCGTTACGCCTCGATACGACAGACCGTCTCGCTCTAAACGGCCTCGCTAAAAGCAGAGGTCTCGCGGCCGCAAAAGGCCTCGCTACTACAGGATTGTTCGCGCTTGTTCCAATAACGAGGCTGCCAGTAACGAGACGCGATCGTCTTCCCGCAACGCCAGCTACAATCGGAGCATTCCACGGCGGAATTAAAAGAGAGAGAACGGAGACCGACAGTTGATTTGCTGAGGGGCTCGCTGGCGTACGTCCTCGTCTGTCAAATTGACGGAAAACGTCTCCGCTAGACGGTCGTCCTTTATTACAAGCAATGCCAGCAGGTCCAATCGCGGAACGTTGCGAGAGAAACGGCGAGCTGACTAGCGACGGCGACGGTAGAATCGACTGCGACGATAAGATTTTAGGACCATTGGGAGGGACAAATCGTTCCCGTCGCGATGAATTCTGACGAGAAACCAGCTGCGTGCGAGAAGCCGCGCATGTCGGCGCACGAGGCGCATCCATGGCCGCCCTGGTGGTCTGGGACTGATCAGTTCCACGCTGTTATTGTTTTCCCCGCTTATCAACGACGCGTTATGAAGCCGGTCCGATTTCGTACTCAGTATTAGGTTCAGCTGTTCTAGAATCATGTACTCAGAAGAATACAATCACACAAAAAGAAGAAGCTTGTTTTATTTCCAACAATACATTCTAAAAAGACATGCTACATCACGCACTCAGCACCCTATCCCCTTCATAAGCACACACGCACACACGCTTCCCAATTCTGGCAACCAGAAAATATATGCGCCATTTATCCTTCTTCCTACACCAGCCCTCTCCCCATTGCAGCGTTGAGATTCGCCCCCAATGCCACGTAATAATCTTAGGAATCACCCTGTCAGGTCCGGCAGCCAATCAAGTGCCTCCAGCCCTCCCTGCTCTGCCAGCCATGCTGCCGCCTCCACCAGCAACTCATCCTCCCCCATGCCGCCCGTGCCCACGCCGCCCACACCACCCATGCCGCCCATGCCGGCCAAGCCATCAAGCCCCACGCTGAGAGTGCGAGTGCATCGCACCACGGGGGTCTGTGTACCAGCAGTACCAGCACCAGCAGTGGCAGCAGCAGCGGCGGCAGCGGCAGCAGTGGTTGGAGCAGCAGGGCTCAGAGCGACACCAGAGGCACGCACAGAATTGCAGGCCATACCCATGAAATCGCGGGTGTGACTCGTGCTGGCATGGAAATTAGCAGCTGGAGCTGCCTGAGCTGCCTGAGCTGCGTGAGCAGGTGGCACCTGGGGGAGGTGGAACTGTTGCAGGTGCGCAGCAGCACTCCCTGCAGGTTGCTCATGGCTCGAAATAAGGTTTGTGAAGTGGTTCGGGGCGGGAGGGAGAGAGGCGACGGGCGGGAGAGAGGCGATGGGAGGGAGAGAGGCGACGGGACGACGCACACTAGTGGGGGAAGTGTGAGGATGAGTGGTGAAAGTAGGCGATGCTAGCTGCGGTTGCCTCGCTAATTGAGAAGCCTGAATCCGTGCTGACATTTCCATCACAACAGCCTCTGGCTTGGATTGCACTGCAGACTGAACACACCCTTGGACCGGAGCTTCGGGCCTCAACTGAAGCACCATTGACGGCTGCTGCTGCACTTGCTGCTGCTCCTGTTGCTGCTGCTGCCCCGCCCCTTGGGATTTCCGGCACTCACACTGGCAGCACGGGGTTTCCAGGGTAGGCAGCACAAGAGCGGCCGGTAACACTGCAGCGGGTGGCGACGCAGTGGCAGGTGGCGGCACTGAAGCGGGCGGCAGTTCGGAAGCGCGTGGCTGCGGCAGGGCATGAGGTGACATGCAATGCGGTGCTGGTGTTGTTCCTGTAGCTACTGTCGCCGCTGTTGCTGCTGCTGCCTGGTACGGGGTGTGGCCAGCAATAGGAAGCAGCGGAGGCGACAGGAAAGGAAGCGCCTGGTTTTGTGAAAAATCAGGTGTCACAGTTGGTGCTACAGGGGGGGCTTGGACTTGAGCTTGGAGTGGGGCCCACAGTTGCCGTTGTGCTGATCGTTCCGCTTCCACAGAAATGCTTTCAGCGTTCTGAAATGAAACAGCTGCTGCTACTGACCTATGTGGTGCTACTGATGTGGCTGGGGGTTGAAACGCTGCTGCGGCAGCATCAGGCGGTGCCCGATACTGTGATGCACCTGTGACTCGCTGCGAGCCCTGCAGAAGCTGACGTGGCACCATATCCTCCAGCAGCCCTTGCAGCTGGCGTGGCGCTGAGTCATCAAAACGGTCACCAGCCGCAGTCACGGGGGAAGGCACAAGAGCCCCACCCGCATCAGTGGCGCTGCTCCTGCTCATAGACCGCCCGTGACCGCCAATGCCCCCGCCAACCGCCATGGGGGAAGGCACAAGTGCTGCGCCCGCATCAGTGGCGCTGCCGCTTCTGCTCATGGGCCGCTCACAGTTCTCACCGCCGCCCGCCACGGCACGGTCGGCCGGAGAAGAGAAGCTCACTTTGATCGGCCTGGGCAGCGTGAAGGAGAGACTCGCAGCAGCAGAGGATTGAGTCGCGGCAGCAGCGGCAGGAGATGAGTGAGACGGGTGAGAGGCGGCGGGGGAGGCAGAGGACACATGAGATGCGGCGGCAGACACGTGAGAGGAGGGAGAGGCGTGGGGGGCAGGAGAGGCGCGCGTCACACGAAAGCCCACCTGAATGGATAGCGGTTCAGGGGACGGCTGCAGCCGGTGGGGGGCTTGGAATCCTTGACTCGAGTTTAAGGTTGGGAGATTAAATCCCTCGGAGGCATAGCGTGCGTGGGGGGCGTGCAAGCGCAAGCAGGGTTCTGACATCAAGGAGGGGTCAGTTTCGCGCGATCGCTTGCCCAGAGAGGTGGGTGTGGGAGATCGCTGCTGGGTTAGGTAGCACGGGGCGGAATTGGACTGCAGCACCGCTTTGCACTCCTCTTGCTGCTGCTGCTGCTGCTGCTGCTGCTGTTGATGCTGTTGCTGTTGCAACAAATGCTGTTGCTGTGGGTGCTGTTGATGCTGTTGCGGGGGCTGCATCTGCTGCTGCCAGGGATGTGCTGGAGAGTGCGGTGATGCGTGCTGTGGTGCGTGCTGTGTGTGCGGTGATGTGTGCACTGCTGTCGTGAATCGTAAAGGGGCAGGAGAACTCATGTTCCCCTGCTGCTGGCACTGCTGCTGCCCTTGCCCTTGCTTCTGCCACAGCTGCTGCCCTTGCCCCTGCAGTTGTTGTTGTTGCTGCTGCTGCTGCTGCTGCTGCTGCTGCTGCTGCTGCTGCTGCTGCTGCTGCTGCTGCTGCTGCTGCTGCTGCTGCTGCTGCTGCTGCTGCTGCTGCTGCTGCTGCTGCTGCTGCTGCTGCTGCTGCTGCTGCTGCTGCTGCTGCTGCATCCGCTGCTGCATCCGCTGCTGCATCTGCCGCTGCTGTACCAAGTGTTGCAAATGCTGCTGCAACAAATGCTGCTGCTGCGGCGGCGGCGGTGGCGGCGGCTGCTGTTCACCCACCATTTCTGTTTTCGTTGCATTCTCCGCCCAGACTCCAGCTGCGGCAGCAGCTGCACCTGGTAAATGGTTTAAGTTAACACCACCAGCCTGACAAGCACCGTCCGTTGCTGCAGAGGGCACTAACCGGAGGCCAATGGGCGGCTCACTGTGGTTGTGCGTGTTCAGGTAAGTCACCCGGAAGAAAATGATCGATGCGGGTGGCTTGCCTGCCGCCCGGTGGTGTGCGGCTGCGTCAAAACCGGGCGGCAGCTGCGACGGATGGGTGGCAGGAGTGAGGGGTAGTAGCTGCCAGTCAACTCGCTTGCGAGCCGGGCAGGGGTGGAAGACTGTGGGAGGGGGGGCGGCGGTTGGGGTGGCAGTGCTAGCTTCAGCAGCATCAGCAACATCAGCAGCAGAATCAGTATTGGCGTCAGGATCAGCCTTGGGATGAGGAGTAGTATTAGTAGCATCAGAAGCTGCACCGGTAGCAGCAGCAGGGACATTGGCATCAGCAGCAGCCGCAGCAGCAGCAGCTGGAGCAGCAGCAGGCAGGTCAGTTGAGTCTGAACGAGTTGCTGGGGTTGCTGGCGCTGCGTCTTGCTTGGATAGTGATGTTGGTGTTGCAGGTGGCGTTGCTGCCGTTACAGGTGTTGCTGCTGCTGCTGGTGTTGCAGGTAAAGACGCCCCTGCTCCTGCTTCGTCCTGGCGAGTGTCAGCGCTGTCAGGCAGAGGGAGGCACGTGGAGCGCGTACAGCGGAAGTACGACCTGGGATAGAGGTGGAGCAAGGGCAGGAGGAAGACGGGGGCAGGAGGGTGAAAGGAGATGAGATGACGTGGGAATGGAAACCAAAGGGGGTGATAGCATCATCCACAGCCGTTGCAAGCACCACACCTAACAATTCCCCCATCTCCGAATCACACAGAAGCTCACCAGTGGCAGGCGGACTTGACGAGGCGTTTCTCGCCGTATTTCAGCCAGCAATGCGCGTCCTCCGGCATCACGTCCTGCGGCACACGCCTCAGCTGCTCCGCGTCCACCGCCGCCCCCCCAAGCATCACACCCAATGCCTCCAGCTCCTAATCACACTCACGCGCACCCAACAATGCCCCAAGCTCAATATCAAGCTCATCCTTACCTGTGGCAAGCTGACTTGACGAGCCGCTTCTCGCCGTATTTCAGCCAGCAGTGCGAGTCTTCCGGCATCACGTCCTGTGGCACGCGCCTCAGCTGCTCCGCGTCCACCGCCGCCCAATGCGGGAACAGCGCCCGTGCGGGGGCGCCACTGGCTACGGGGTTGCCCCCCCCCGCCGCGTGACGACCACTGGTCGAAATTTGGGCACAGGTAGCCGCAGGAATCGCGGCAGATGGGAGCTGCTGAGGGGACCTCTCTTGACGCAGCGCCAGTGGTTCATTCCCCACCGGATTCGCTCCCGCCGCTGCTGTGTGACGGCTGCAGATCACCGCGGGAATCGCGGCAGATGAGAGCAGTTGCGCGGACCCATGCGGCTGCCTTGGCGCGCTTATCGTGCTGCTGGCGCCAGTGCTGCTGGCGCCAGTGCTGCTGGCGGTATTGTTGCTCGTGGTGCTCGCAGCAAGGGTGGGAGTCATGATGATCGCTCCAGTGGACACCCGTCGGGTAATCCACAGCCATAAAACGCCGTAGTGAACAGTTTACTTTAGCAGACGAGAAAGAGAACCCGGACCGGATTGGAGTGTAACAGTGTCAGAGTCCTCGCAGGTATGTTTCGATCTCTGGGTTTCACAGGCTGTTTTTGAGGCGCCTCAAAAGTCGGATCAGAGTGTTCCCAGGTACATTTGGAGACTCTTTGGGTTTCACAGGCTGCTTGGCGCTAAGAGGCCACACGAGGACGCTATCTTATTAGTAGCAATACTTCTAGTATTGTACTCCTGTTATCCCTGGTTTGCAAGCGGGCGCTGCGGCTTTGTGGAAGAGGAATGGCTAGCCGCGTGACCTCCTCTGGTGGGGGGAGAGGCGGTGGTAGCAGTAGTTCTGTATTATGTAGAGAAGTAGCTGAAACGCGGCGCCTGATCGAGCAGAAACCGCGTGGTTCTACTCCTGGCTTCTTGCAGAGCCGGTGGCTGAAAAGTTTGAACCGCAGCAAGCAGAGTTAGCACTGCTGCCTCGTCAGGAACTCAGACCGCGGGGCTAGACAGCCAATCAAACAGAAACCGCGTGGACTTAGGGCGTGTCCAGTTCGTTCATTTCGGGGTTTTTAGTGCCAACACACGTCTCGAGGTTCATCACTGTACCTATAAACGAATGCATTGTGAGTTGAGTCCCACCTACCTGTAATTTCAGGAGCGCGGACACGTTCTCCGCCACACGAATCAACAGTGCTCTGATCGGGTTCGAAACGAGGTAACAGTTTCCCTCGTCAATCATAGCTAACGAATTTTTGTGCAGGCGGGGGGGGGTGTTGGCGAGTGTCGCGAGCTACTGGCGAAATTGTGCAAGCGATACATGGGGCACTTCTGTAGTGGCCAGGACGCGGTGCTGTACCCTTGTTCGTGTCCCCGCTGATTCCAGTAACGTGAGTCAGACGACTCACGTGCAGGGGGCGTGCCGTTTTGTGAACGAAAGCTGATTGTGTTCGTAGAGCACGTTCAATACAGTGTTACAACAAAAAAATGTGGTAACTGAGCGGGCTTACGAACAGTAAATGTACGAGCTGGACACACCCTTACACATCCTCCTAGCCTCTCGCAGAAGCTGAATCTGGAAGAGTTTGACGAGCAGCAAGCTGAGTGCTGCCCCGTCACGTATTCTCACACGCGGAGCGCCGGCCTTGACGAATAGAGCAGTGATTAGACAGAAACCGCGTTCTACATCAACCAGAAGGGAGCGGCTGTATTCATAGTAATCCGTGGTCAGACAGAAAGGCTCAGGAGTCCTGAGAATATCGTGTTTGCTCGCGTCTAGAAACTCATAAGCTCCGAAGTCAGCCATTCAGTCAGCCCTTGTGATAAAGCTACCCGCGACGTTCAGTACAGAGGTCGACTGGCAATGCTGCTCGCGATGCTCGGTGTTGCAAAATAATATCACATTATTATGCCCGTCATGCCTACAGGCCTAGACAAAGTAGTGGCGTGGCACGTCATCATGATGATGATCGTTCTTACGCCAGCCGCTGGCTAGTGGTTCATCATCAGCCTGATGAGGCAACTTGTCGACAAGACCGTGTACGTAACACGAGCACGCGGCAGCTGCTCGATAAATTCAACTACAGTACAATACTACAGTACCGGATCTCACAAATTCCGTGTCAACGCCGAATATCTCAAGGTCAGGAGCGATAAGTGGGGAAGAAAGAGGAGGGAAAGCCAACGGGAGGAATTGGGGTTCGGAAATATCGAGGGGCTGGCGTCGATGGGCGTGATGCCCGGTTCGGTGCCGCCGCCATGCCAAACACACAGCTTCGGTTGAGGCAGCGTGCGGCATGGCTCGAATGATATGCGGGCGGTCCTCCCGTCCCGTCAGTTGATGGCAGCTCAATCGAAGGCCAGTACGAAACCTACAGCGAATCAAGAAAGCGAATTGAATTGAACATTGGACAAATCAGTGCATGCCACCGTGAGATTCAGGTCCCCGTTGAGCAACTCAACAGCGGCAGCACCAGCACACCCACGTGTCCCTCCATCCCGCTGACCAGCACTGTGCTTTCTATTGAGGCAAGCGACCAAGAGTCCGAGTTTTGCAACGGATCTAGGCACGGGCTGTAGATTCGCGTAGTAATAAAGAGGACAAACTAGGGACATAAGTCAAAAGTCAGAGAATGTCCCTTATGGCGGATCTGCATCATCAAGAATCAAGCATGTATGCTGGTTCTGCGACTATGGCGGAGGGAGCTAGCTGTATGCGCAGCTGGATTGGCTAGCGAAATGACTGGATGTCAAACCAATCAGACGGATTGGTTAACGACAACGCTGGATGGTTACACAATTTGTGTTTTTACCCAATCAGCTCCGTGTGTGTGGTGTGGAGCTATTTGTTTGACCAACAATCAATCAGTTTGATTCCTCCCAGCAATAAATGGAACATAACCAATCAGTTTGACTCCTCCCAGCAGTATACATTTGAAAGGTGGGTTTCAAAATCATTAGGAACTTGAAGAAAAAGGTTACCAAATTTCAAGTGCACCCCCTCGTCCTTCCCCTGCGGAGAAGCGGTTCTCTCTCGATTTCAAAACCTAAGGATTTGATGCGGAGAATAGGCGATTGAGGGAGAGCCTAGGCGCAGAGTTCAGGGCTTCATATTCGTTTTGGGCCACCCTTAGTAATCAGGGTTCTAGGTATTGTCAACCCTGATGCCTAAGGTAAATTTTTTGTTTCCCTGACAAATGCAGGGTAAAAAAACTGAACACTGTTTGGCAAGGGTATTTTTTTTAGAGAACACTGTATCAATATTTCTAAGTTTGTTAAATTCAAGACTTAGTGGCTCAGCTGGTGTGTTACGGAATAGAGCCTGAAAGGCACAGGTTCGAGATTCGTCGAAGTGTTTTTGCAGGGGCCCGCATAGTGTTTCGTCTCGCTACGTAGCATTCAGTATCAGTATTACTGGGACTGTACACCGTACAGTCAGGGAAATATGTTCCTTACGCTGTTTTTCAAAGGGTACAAAAAAACTTACACTTTCTGGCCTAGGGTAAAAAATCCACTACCCTGTCTCTGAACGGGTAACTGAAAAAAGCGGCCGCCAGTCAGTGCAAAAAGGGTATTTTACCTTGATAACGAGAGCCCTGGCAGAGTTGCAAAGCGGATACTTGTAAACCGAATAATGGCTTGGTAGAAACCGAATACTGACGCCAAACTCGGTATCCAGTAACGGGAGGAACGAAATTGATTATCTTATAGATTGATTAAGTGATATGTTACAACAGAAACAACATGCACCTTATATAGGAGCATAATGATATGCACACGAATGTTCTACGAGAACGTTGTTAAAGGAGAACGTACAAGCACATACTCTAATATGATGTTTCCAGGTTGGCACCGCCATATGAAAATACCATCAGGTTGTCAGAATCAAATGTGCAGGAATGACTACAAAGAGGGCAGTACAAGTATGTATAAGCTAACCCTAATTGGGGTTGTACTCTGTACAAAGTAACCCACTATAGTATAGCAAGTAGAATTGTCAACCATAGGTTAAGTGGGGTACAACCGGATGGTCACAAGACCAGTCAAGCAAGAGAACAAGCAAAGCAAAGCTCAAGGTGGATCTCAAGGACACCGCACAGTCAGAGCCCAAGCAAACGACCACAAGGCCAGTTCATATGCAGAATTACAAGAATTAGGCAGTATACTGATTATAACATAGCAAGAGTAACCATGAAGGTATAAAGATAAATATAAGTGTACAACAAGAGCAAGTCAAGCAACCAGCACGTGAAGCAGAGTGGGCACAAGCTAAAGAAGAGTGCAGAAACGTTGATTATCACCAGACCCAAGGGCCTGTCAGAATGTTATATTTCTTATCTAGCCTGCAGTGGGGTACTCTATAGCGAGTATAACCCCTTAGGGTTTCATATATGTATCCCCTTGCTTGCTAGTACAAAACCTCTTTTGCCTAACTTCTTCCTTGCCTAGCTAAGTTAGTCCTAGCTATGGCTTCTTCGTTCTACCACCGTTCTTCACATGGTGATCAGAGCAGTAAGCTCCAGGCTTGTGGGCCTCACCACAAACCTTCCGCTGCAATTCCTCCTCTCTCTTTCCGCCGTGCGTCCCGAGGCGCGCGGCGATTCTTCTACCCGCCGTGCGCCCCGGGGCGCGCGGCGTTTCTCTTCCCGCCGTGCGCCCCGAGGCGCGCGGCGGGTTGCTGCCCCGTCACGCCATGCGCCGCCCCCGGGAGACGCTGTAACGGGCGACGGGGACCTCCGCGTCGCCCCCCGTCGCCCGTCGTGGCCTCTGTGCGGCCCGCACAGGCAGCGCGCGGCCCGTACGGGCTGCGCCAGACCCGCGCGCTGCCCGTACGGGCTGCGCCAGGCTCGCGCGCGGCCCGTACGGGAGGCGCCCGACCCGCGCGCGACTCGGGCCGCATGCGCGCGGCTCGGGCGTCCCTACTAGGCCCATGGTGGGCTCGTTCCTCCCTGTCCCTTCCCTCCCCGCTATCCCCCAGTGCTACTACGGCCGCCCCACCCCTCCTACTCCCCATTCTCCTATTTTAGGGTTTGGGGGTGAGGGGTATGGGGGTGACCTTACTTAGTACCGCTCCCTGCTCCTCCTCCTCCTCCGTCTCCTTGTACTGCAGCTGCCGCTGAGGGGGGGGGTGGTATGGTGGAGCCGGTGGAGTGATGCTAAGGGGGGGTGAAGGGGGAGTGGGGCTAGCGGTGTAGCAGTGGGTGTGTGCCAGGGGGAGTAGGACAGGTTGGGGAAGCTGAAGGGAGGTTGCCGTTGTGTCGCTAGCAGCACCTGTAGTCCGGGGACTTCGTCCGGTAGCCCAGTCGTAGCCAGCTGTGCCAGCCGCCCGTGGGTCCGTTGCTCGTCTGCCGCTACTTAAGCCGCGGGGCCAGTTACTCCTGTATTCCGGGGGCTTCGTCCGGTAGCCGCTGTGCCAGTCTGCCTCCTGTTGCCCGTGTGTCTGCAGC